ACCACACAATTTTCAATAAAATAATGTTACACGTAAATTCAAAATTTTTGCTTTTTTTTTTTTAACTACATATTTTTCATCACATTACTATTTAAAATGCATTATTTCTTTAAGAATATACATCAAACAGGGCCTCAATAAGAATTTAAATTTCTTGTTATTTTCAAAGTCGTCCGTCATCAAGAATCAAGATTCTTGAGGATTAATAAAGATAAATATTACATGTATTTTTAGCATATTGTTGTATGAATTTCTTAAGAATTAATTTTTTATCCAGATATTACCGTTTATGTTGTGTTTAATCGTTTGTCATTTTTTTCCGCTTGATCATAAGTTTTGGAGTAGATTTTGTTTGTCGTGTTTAATTGATCTTTTATATTGTTAGATTACAAGAATGACTATTCTATTTTTGTGTAATTTTTAATCTGACAAATGGTTTCATATTTTATTTTTATAATGTTTCAATATAAAGAACCGGATTGTACCCAATTGAAACTGTTTGATTTTATTCTGTTCAGTTCGGTACCATAGGATGTGAAACTAATGATTTCATTTTTAAGATTTTCATTGATATTCAACTCCTAATCGAACTAACCCACATCCACTCCTACCTATTTCTCACGCAATCTAAAATACATTTGAGTACTGACACTAAAAGTAAAATATTTGTAGGACTGCGTTCATGGGCATGGCATGTATGAAAAACAACATACGACTCCTGTAAAATTTTTTCCTGGACTGGAGTCTGGCACTAGGAAATACAATTAATTTATTGAGGTTATGTTTTGAATAAATTCAACTATCTGGTTTAAAAAATAGAAGAAACAAATTAATTATTTATATTCATATCTTTAACATGAACATTGACGTGCAGACTATCTTTCGTTTCTCTTTATCAAAGATGTAATGGCAGGGAATTCTTCATAAATGAATAACAGCAAAACTTGATCACACCACCAGCTTTTTGCAAATCCCAAACACTTGATTAATAAGATTTGATCAAAACGACAGTTGAGACTGCAGTTTTAAAGGGGCATAGATTTTTCATCCATTCCCCATGCCCAGTATACTGACTCCCTTTTTCATTCTTATTTTCTGCTAAACTACTGGGAGGCTACAAACTCAGTTCACTATTATATACACCAATAATGGAGAAGTTCTGCTCTCTTACGATGAGCAGACCTTGCAGCTCTTCCTGCAATAACCAACAGCATCTTCTGAACCCACCATATATAAAGGATTTTTCTTGCATTCGCCCTGAAGCGCCCACACAGGACAGTTTGGATTTGAGTCAACACAATCTCCACTTGCGGAATTCTTAGGTGGTGTATCAAAAGATCTCACGTGAATCCACTTTGTCGCAGACCATTTTTCGCCTTCAATGACAGGACAGCTCCCATGCAAACTTAAAGGATCAGTGGTTGCATCAGGGTGAAGACTAAAGAACAATAATGCGTCACCCATCCTGGGTTTTACTGTAAAAGTAAAGGGGAAAAAAAAGTCAATGTGTAATCCAAAAACCATCTACCATGAGGCCAAGTCGCCTCGATTCATGTTGTAAAACAAAAAGATGCTTATTTTTAGCTTCGTGCCTCATATAATCTCTTAAAGGAAGTGACATCACCCTTCTAACTGACAACTCACAGAAAGTGAAAATAATAAGGAACAGCCTAATGGAAACATGTGCAAAATCCAAAATATCAAACAACAAAAACGAGAACATCATCCATCTAGACCAAGAAAGACCAAAATTTCAAAGAAATAATAAGTCGTCGAGTATGTCGTGCTTAAAAGTAAGTCACGCATCTTGCCAAAACATGATTTTTAAGTCTCTTTTTAAGGACAGCCAAACAAGCTCCCAAAGTTCATTATACTTGTATTTTTTCTGGCCCCTTCCTCTGGCTGTGCGCTAAATATTGTACGACATGCCAATCAGTAAAAACATATTACCTGCATAGCCATATTTAGCACAATCGGACCAGTCACTGCCCTTAGGCTGAGTTTTTGTTGCCTATAATACAAATCAAAAGATAAGAGGAAAAAAGAACAAATTTTTTTTTTGTCTTAGGTGCACAAGGGGAGAAAAGACAGACAAGCATAATATTATTAAGTATTAGATACCTCTGAATTTGGGAAAACTGTTTCTCCACCCTTCTCAATATTCGACAAATACATAAGTACAGTAGCCACCCGATGACCACCAAGTTCTTGATTGAACTTGTCATGAAAATAATCAAAGTGCGGTTCATACTTCTGTCCATGCTCATAATGCAGTATTTGAATAGATTCCCCATTCTCTACATGGTACAAATCATAAACAGGATTAGAAGTCTTCATTGTACAAAACCGAAGCGAACAAAAATTAAAGAAAACTATTCCTGAATACCTGGAGGGAGGAAAGTCCAGGCAGCAATCCTTGCTTCAATACTCTCAACTACATCATCCTTCGAAGGAAAATTAAAAAAAATTTAGCACATTATAACTTCAGTAAGTTATAGTCAATTACAAAATTGTTTATTAAAATGAAGTCCTTCACATTTAACATGTATTATTGGGACAATGGTCTTCTCCATATAGCAGAAGAGCAAAATTCCCATACAAAAATCAAAGAAACGACAAGTCTCCCATATCAAAAGTAGATCAGCACACCAAGTAATGCCACGTAAAGGCAGGGAAGGTAAGAATCAAGGTATAGTAAATAACACAGGACGACTGTAAAATATAATCCAGACATCTTGAAAAGCACATCCAACCAAAAACTGATAATTTATGATTGTAATGCTTGTTGAATTGCAATATTATCCAAGGACATTTTGGTGGTGCAGAAATGTTAACTTGGCATATGCATGAAGGGGAAAGAAGCTCGTGTGTTGACTCAAGATCATCCATCTTCTTGGACAGATAATCAGGGAAGGAATTATACAGCAAGGTTATCCATAGTGTTCCAATACAGCAGATCTTCTGAAGATGAGCTACGAGTTATAAAAATAAGGATGTGAGCCATTGTTTGTGTTGAATCAGTTTTTAACACTCACAGACTCACACAGATGTTATCTTACCTTTCAATATCTTTCAAATATGGTTCACAATAAACATACATACACTAAAGAACTCGAAGCCACTTGTTTATAAAGAGAAAAGAAGCCAGATAACTTCCTTTTTACAAGCAATGGAAAATTGAATTTCATCTGTTCTCATAACTGAAGCCAGTGTTTTCTCTATGTTTGTTCATTGTTGGTCAAAGCCAAACAAGTTATGCAACGTGTAAAAAATGAAGGTATCTCCAAGGATGCATATGAAGAGCAACAGTAAAAGGCCAAATACTGAAAATTTATGCAAAACAAAAATATATGTTATAACTTCTCCAGCATTTCAATGACTTGATGAAAAGGAAATGAGATATTAAATTTAAGCAGACCTACCATACTCTTATTTAAATTTCATATTAAAATATAATGTTATCACTTATGTCCTTACTGTGTCATGAAGAGAAATGTATGCTTTTAGAAAGAATAAGTGAATCTAGTATAGAATCCCTCTAGCGAAGGAAGAGACCCGTTTTTCGAAAAGAAATTCAGGCAATCGCATTTTGAGGTGGCGTGCACTCAATATTTGTTGGAGAACAAACATTCAGAATAGTAGCCAATTCATGATAATCAAATTTTATCAGGATGGCAAAAAGAATACTGAGCTCTTTCTTAAACAAGTAAAAGAAAGCAATGAGACTAAGGGACACCGGAGTGAAATTGAAAAAGTGTAAACAAAATTTCTCTCTGTCATCAATCAACCAAAGAGGAAATTCTGCATGTAAAGAATATGTAAATTGATAATTAAAGATCTAGCTGCCCCAAGAGAGAAATTATGAACAGTAACACCAACCACAACATAAAATAGAAAGAGAAATGTAAAATTACTAAGCAACTAATACAAAGTTGGCTGCTCACAAATAATATGACCATTGGTTTTTATCTTCCGCAGCTCTTTTGAGCATGCAACTTGACATGCCATTCTCTTTTGTACTAAATTTCCTTTTTTTCCAGGAGGCCATCTATGCTAGGTAAAATCACCGTATAGTAGTGAATTTATAACATCAAATATGCCTAAGAGGCACCACTAATAAAAAAAAGTTTGCACTAGAAAGACAAGGATCTGCAAAGGGGTAATTAGCACATAACATCCC